GAAAAGAGAAAAACTGGACATCTGACATGTATGCATAAACCCATTCATTACCTGACATTGGAAACAAAATATATGTAAAAATTAATTTAAAGCACAAGGTCTTCAGCTTGTTTCCCCAGGTAAATTCAGAAACTTTTCATGAAGATGATTGTTGAAGAAAATGCTGTTTAAAGTAATTAAAGGCAAAACCAATTGGGGGCATTAATATTCTTTTGTTGACTTACAAATGATTTTACTGCGCAAGATCTGACTTGTCTTGGCACCAACTCTTAGGGAGGCAATCAGAAAGTGAAGACTGTAATTAAAATTAGAATGCTCCCTTTTGGCAAAATGCCTCAAACCATCAATGAGTACATCTAAGCACTTTGGTGAAATAATTTGAATACACAATCTCTTCGGACTTGTGTTCCATTATATTCCCATAGATGCATCAATATTAAATCCTAATTTACTCTTCTCCAGAAGGCTCTTTCACCATCACTGAAGAAAATTGGGAAGGATTTAGGAAATTCTAGGAGAGGTCAATGGAATGACATGTTTATTGCATGTATTCTAATGGAGGATGCAGGCAAATATAGAAAGGACAGGTTTCTCTCAGCAACAGTGTTTCAGATAGTATTTAATCCTTGGATGGCAGAGGTTTCTTTTCAATTGCATGGCAGAGCTTGAGGGTTTTTTCATCCAAAATTGTTTGCAGGATTAGAAATTAATATTGGTCTTCTTCCTAACTTATGATACAAAAGTAGGAATTTTTAGTTTTCACTGCTCAGTGTTACAAAATTTTGCAAAAATATCCCAACTTTGCCACAGCACAAGGGTTAATATACTTCTGGCATTCCATTGCCAGCTGCTATTATAAAACTTTGGCATATAAATTTATATTAGAGAAACAAGGTTGCGCTTGTGCTGCCATCTTGCACTAATGAGCAGGTGCACAGTCCAAGACCAGAATCACAGAAGGGGGTCAGAAAAGTTGGAGTATTTCCATTAGGAAAATAGCAAACTGACAACACTTTGATCATTAAATCACTTGGGGTAATTTAATGATCAAAAGCATGCTTAAATTTCAATTTCATAATTGCATATGTTTTTTGGCTTTGGGGCAAAATGATTTTGAGTGTTTGAGTTTTGTTTATGTTTGCCTGAGTGACAAGTGGAAATTGAGCATAAAAGCATTTAAATCCATGGTCAATGTGTGTGAAAATTCAAACGTTTTTCTTGCTGAAATATTGCCATTATTGAGCCAGAAAAATTGGCATGCGCATCTTTCCTGGTCAGGGTTCAGATTTTGGCTGAAAATTGTAAATTTGCATCTTGTACTCAGAGGGGCTATTTGTTGTACTTTTGTTTAAATACTGTACTATACACCATCATTTTGGCCGATGAAGCGGAAGCCACTAAAGTCCTGACACATGATCAATTTTTACAGGCTTTCGTATAAAAAACAATTCAGACTTTAGTGCGGCATTAAATGACTCAGGTTCTGCTGTTTGCCTCATCTCATCGAACATGATTGAGCAAGAGAACTTGCATTATAATGCTTCTCCCCCGTCCGCGAGTCTGGCTTCATCATGTCTCAGTGCCAATTTCAGAGCAATCAGCTAGCTCCTGTGTGTTACACGATCCCTTCGTATATAACTTGAGCTGCTGTTTCTCAATACTGTTCTCTAGATACTGCACCCTTTATTCAGCCAAAGAGAAAAGAAAAAAAAACATATTTATATATATCGTATGAAAGAAGAAAATTGGTGCTAGATTTCGTAGAATGTTATTCGAGTTGTTGGTGCTGAGCGAAGTTATTGAGAATGATTGCTCGTCATAAATTCTCGGAATGTCTCCGTTTTCTTGCTTGCGACAATCGAACAAGAGGATTTTGTAAAAATTGCGTAACACGGAAATGAGAGAAATCTTGTCGAATTATCGAGAGAATGTTTTAGACAACCTCATCCGATAAGTTTAATAAATACTGTATTTTAATTCCGCGTTTTTCGAAACAGAAGATTAAATAAACTTTATTCATTCGAAAGACTGAAATTTCAAATTCGCTGCTTTTTTGTTTTTTTAGGCAGAATTGCAACAATAATGTATATTATTGCTGCTATTCTGACTGAAAAAAATTCTAGGCTCGATTTTAGCAATATACAGTGATGTTTCTCCGTTTTTAGCTCGCAAAAAACTTTAAATACCCGTGAAGAATGTCTGTAGAAATTGAGGATAAATTTTTCCGGAAAATATTATTTTTCCTTGTGCCGAATTTCGCGTGCAACTCTTACCTCTGGTATAGTTTTTCGCTCTCGCTTTCCTGTAACCTTGACCCACAAATTGCAACAAAACAAAGAACAGCAGGAAACAGGATTCGAGCAGGAGAGTATATTTTCCTCAACATTTTTAAAAGGGGTAATTAGACGGATTATCCTGTGGAAAACACGTAACACATCAGGAGGCGACAATGGCAGGAAATCCTCGCATTATATTCCTACCCTTCATGGTATTGTTGTCTTTGTTTCACTGTTGGGGAAAACAATGCCTGGAAAATGGTATCCTGAAAGTTTGGCTTCTCATCATCCTGTCTTGGTGTAAACTGGGAAGTTGACTTAATTTTTAGAGCAATAATTTGATGATTTTCTGACCAATCATTTGAATCAATTCATGTATGTTAGCTCAAGAGTTCAGGCGGGCAAGTAAATAGGAAATATAGGTTTTTCTGAGAATCAAAAGTTATTGAACATTTTCAATAATCTTCCAAAAAGCTTGCATTTCAAAACAAAAAAGTCTTGATATCCACAATTGGTGAGTCAGTGAAGCCAAATGCAAAATGCATCCTTTTGAATGTCAATTTGCAAGAAGAGTGAGACCCCAAGATGTGGACATCATCGGTGCTTGAACAGTGTCCCTATGTCAGAATGTCTGCATGTTGCAACTTGTTTTCCCATAGACTTCCATGGTAACTCATTTACTGTATTTACTCGAGTACAACGCGCACCTTTTTTCTCAAATTTCAGAATACAAAGGAGTGAGCGTCATAAGCGGGTAAGCGCATCACAAATGTTCCAAGAAGTTTTAGGAAGTTATGTGTGCATTATACTTAATTACAATGGAGACATTTGGAACAAATGTAACAAGAAAACTTGTTTGTACTGGAACAGTTCAAAATTGATCAGATTTCTGTTCAATCCATGTCTAAAATCAATTTTTTGTTTTTCTTTTCAAAATTTTGTAGTTTTAGATGTCACTAAAAATTGGTGTGCGTGTCTTACGTAGGGATAAGATTTTAGCAAAATTTCCAACTGAAAAACCCCTGTGCGCACCTTACTCAAGGGCGCGTGGTACTTGAGTAAATACAGTAATTGGTACTCAAGTTCATGGAAAATTAGGAAAGAACTCAAGAAAAATCAAATAAACTGTGTTTCTCAACTTGAAGATATAGAATATAACTACAGGTATTCAGAATGAAGAAACCCAAACAGAATGTGATCCTCTGGCATGAAAAGGACTCATGAATACAAACAAATAGTAAAAGTCCTGCTATATTATTTGCAAAGATGATTGCGGGATTGCTAAAAAAAATAAGCACAAGATTAACCTGGTTTTGATCAGAATTTTATAGATGCAAGTAAACATTTAATCATATTCAGTTTTAACTTCCGTGAATATAAATAGCTCAATTTTTTCAAGAGAAAATCACATTTTGAAATATCAAAATTTTCCAATTTTCTAGGCATGCTGAAAGAGTATGTCAAGATATTGTCTGGATGTTGGGTCCAGTTTTTTAAATTTTCAAGTGTCCCCAAGTCGAATCATCCATGTGCTGGGGGTGTCCACATTTTGTGGTGTCATACTGTATATAAGCAGTTAATTCAAGAATTCAATTTTTTTATATTTATACCAAGTATTGTTACTTTTTGAACCATTGTATTTCATGTTTTCATGAATACATTTTTTAAACAAATTCTAGCAATCTCAGGAACATTTTACAATTTTTTAAAATTCCAGTTATCCCTTGAAAGCTCCAAGGCTTGAAATTTTCAACTTTTGATCAATATTTTCAATAACAAGGGTTTTGAATTTCTCCAGACACATGATTTCAGTCTCCTGTTTGAATCATGTACACATATTGAAAATAATTTGCATACCCCGATTTTGTTTATGGCTGAATTTTGGAATGAAAGGAGGTGGCGAACTTTCAAGTGAAATAATATTCTGTCGTGTATATACTGTACATGTACATAAGGATTCCAAAAATGAAAAAGAGAAATGAAATTTAATGCATTCAAATTATTCTTCTGCCGATGAGATTATTGTAATGCATTTCTTCTGCTGCTTCTCTTGGGGGATGCGGAGACGGAAAAACCGTGACGTGACGGTGTGATGACGACAGTGTCGTCGTGATTTCTCAACTCTTATACGGGTTGTGACGCGACGCCGACGGTGTCACGGATTGACAACTCCGTCTTCTTTTTTTTAATGGATTCATGGGCCAATCCGAAGGGAATAAATATCATACTCCTGTAAATATATATACTGTACAGTATATTGCTGGGGAATTCATTGCAGGCATTCTTCCCTTTTTCACGCATGGTTCCTGTTGAGAAACCGCAAAGACAGTTTTATTCTTCCAACCAGATGTCGCTCTCAATGCGTGTCAAATTTCATCCTAAATATGGGAAAATATTATTTTCTGCTAATTTTTTCTGGAATTTTCTTCATTTTCCTCAACAGGATATCATTTTGTATACAGTATTTCACAGGTGAACCTCATATAAATCCAACCTCCATGAGTTGAATATTTCAAATTGCAAATCAGTGAAATTGCAAGACACTCCCTGAAATTCAAAAATTCAAGTGCAAAAATGCAAAAAATTGGCAAATTGGGGGGCAAGGGTCAAATTGCAAGTCAATCTCTGTGAAAATTTGATCAATAAAATTGTGGGATGGTCAAATTGCAAGGTACCACCTGTATGTTGAATTATTTCAAAGTCCCTGTCTGAATTCCCTTGGAAACAATGCATTAAAAAACCTATTCAACTCAACTCAAAAGATTTACTGTCCAAACCTTCATGACTCAAATTTTCTGTAGAACTTTTGGCTATTATTTAATCAACACAGAAAGTGATAAAATATGAAACATTATTTTGAAAGGATGTAAAAGATTATTGTAATTTGACAATGAACTCTTGCCTCCAGCAAGTTCAGCATCCTGTCAATTATTTATCTTATTATTTAATACCCTGAAAATTTCCAATTTTGTCAATAATATTTTAAAAATAACAATTAAAATTATGTCCAGAATTTTATCAATTAACATGTCATATCATTATGTTTTTCTTTTCCCTGACAGTAAAAATATCCTTTCTCTATCATTCGATTTTTATGGTCCCTTGAAATTCCACTTATATTAAAGAGGTTTCAATTGTATATAGTGCCCTTTGATTTTCTCCGCCAGATGTCACTGATTGGGGTACTGTCATTCGAATTCCAGCGGAATCACTGGCAAGATTGCAGAAAGTGGCTTGCGTAAAAAAATTACATTTGATTGGGCCAGACAAGGCCAAAGATATTTTACACTGCATATGCAGTCGGTGATGATAATGATGATGATGATGATTGTGATTGTGAATGCAGGACAGATTTTTTTTTATTTTCCAACTGTCTTTCATTATCCTTCTTTCCTTGGAAATCCATGACGAGATGGGGGATGGAATTTATGCCCAGGTGCTGAGGGATTGTGACACGAAATGCCGGGGTCTTTTTCGACTTGCGCAATTGCTGTCGAGAGTCGTCGGGGATTTGATGACTCGGAATATACACGTCCCCGAATCAAATGCTCGACACACGTTCACCTTCTTCTTCTTCTTCTTCTTCTTCTTTCTTGTCCACCTGCTTTACTTTCCCTATCCTCCTTCTGGTCCAAGTATTTATTCTCCGAATATAGAAAGGATAAGGGATATGATTGGCTATTTGCAAGTAGGAAATATGCTGAATTAATGCCAGGGTATATTCTTGAAATGAATTTTGACGGGAAATCCCTGTTTCGACAGCAAACCGACACAAATCTATGAAATTGTATCATGGCTTTGATATTATGATAGCTTGAGTGTATCCATATGCAGTGGGTTTATTTACTCAAGAACCCAAGAATATCTCGTTGGAGACTTTGAACTATACAATCAGAAAAAAAAAGAATTTAATTTTCCACCCCAACCCAAAAAAAAAGACCAAAACACATCAGGTTTGCATGTCGTTTCGTTCGATTTTCTTGAGCATTTAATAAAATATTCCCATAAATCCTTTCCGCTGAAAATTTTTGACAGAATAATTGTGTTTATAGCCGAGGGCAGGAAAAATCGGTCAGAAATTCCGGGGGAAATTTGAACAGCAGCTCGATTCCAGCTACTGTATTCCAGAAAGGAAAGAAAAAAAACCAGAGGGATTGGAAGTTTGCATTGGCAAGTTTGCACACCGATAAGATCCGAGAGTCGTTCTGACCGATGCTGAATCAACAGCGGAATGCTGCTTCGTTAATTTTTATGCCCCTTATCCCGTGATTCAATTTCAAAGCGAAATTCAATTTTCCTGCCTGTCCTTCGTGGCTGATTTTAACGAGCGTCTTGGGTGTACGTGTTTTGTTTACCAATGCATATTTCCGTGTATATTATATTAGGGTCCAGATTCAAATGCGCCGAGTCCGAAGAACGCGAGGATGAGCCAAGGCAGGATTGGTGCAGCAGCGACATCTACGTTGCACCGCCTGGGAACTTTGATTCGTTCCGCCAAGAACAAGGCGTCGGTGTCGTCAGCAACAGCAGCAATCAGCAGGAAACCGTCGCTGGCTGACGATGAGCGCGTCGACATTGTTGACACAGATGACGTTTACATCACTCAGACGAAGAAGACAGGCGACGATGGGACAAAGTGGACCAGTCTTGGGGCCAGGTTCAGGTCATGTCGAGGACCCGCTACGATCCGGCGATTGTTACGAAGAGGTATTGTAATATTTTTAATTCTTGAAGGTTTATTTTTATTTCCCACCGACGTGAATAATTTGTGTTTTTCAAGCGGTGTCTATGAGGGTGCTCAATTCATTGCGCCTATTTCGGACTTGAAATTGAAAACAAGTTCATCCAATATAATTATAATAACAGTAGGATTGCTGCATGGATTACGTTATTGATACAGTATGTTACAGGGCAGTGAGGAATATAGGAGTAGAGGGAGCGACCTCTTGTTTTATTTCATGAAGATTCAGAAACTTAAATTGCAGATGTATCAATAGGGGACGTTCTGTCGGTCATGTATCAAGCTTGATTAGGGACAGCAATTTAAACGGATGTACCATAATATGAAGATAGATGTCGCATAACATCTCTTTTCTCGATTTCTTCTCGCTCAGCTGAATCGTCAGCAACTACAGCTAGTCGAGCTGGTCAACGTCGACGTCGACATCAGCAGCAGCAACAAAGTGTCGAAGACGCAACCCGTAACGACACCTTCGACGATTTTCTGCATCGACATGAACCAGCATCGACGTCGTCGGCAGTCGACGGGTTCCTGAGCATCAAGAAGAAGGGGAAACCCAGCAAAAATAACTGTGACGACGTCGTCGGTGTCGGTGGGAACCAAAAAAGTCAATTTCACACGACGACGACGACGATGACGAGGGGTGAGTCGATCAAGCTTCTCGCTATTTTTTTTTTTACCTATACATTATTATTTTCCTGTCTCATCGAATAAGAAATAACAATTTCTTACTTTTCTGTATTATTGTGCATAAGCAATATTTTGCTTGTACAGTATATTCGCTATTCCGATCGTCGACGCGTGATGAGAATTCCGTCGCGGTTTTTCCCACGTCCTGGAAAATCGACTGTTCTTGGTTTAATTTTTGTTCTCATCGTGCCACGAAGCTCATGATCACTTATAATTCATATGCGATTATAAAAGACACATTTGACACAATAATGAAGCGCATAAGAAATATATTCAAGAATGATATTTGTGAAGCACTAACGTGTGAAAAGAGAGATTTTAGATTCATCTGAATTTGAATAGTTGTCAAATGGTGTTTGATTTCAAGTTTTCATCCGTGTGCATATAAAATATCATATTTACAGAAGTACTGGGCAACCTAAAATTTTATGAAAATCTTACATCCGCAAGTAAGACACAATTCATTTCTATTGACTGCAAAACTAAAATTTTTCAAAAATGAGAGGAAGCTGAAGTCAAATTTAAAGATGAATTAAAACTCATTTCAATTGAATATTTTTTTAATTGTGAATGTTTCTGTCAAAATGCCTCATTATGTTCAAGTGTAAATATTATGTACCTAAAAGTCAAACATTTTTTGCAAATTATATCCCCACCTATATGTGAGTTGCATACCAACCACTCTTCATTCCTCTCCATTTTGTAAAAAAAAATTGTATACATGCAATCCAAGTACTGTAGTATGTATGGTAATCAAATAAATACAGCTAACCCCTGCACAACAGACCTCCAGCACAATGGATTTTTGCACAACAGACTGCCTCTGGAGGTGGTTTTCCCTCCCATGCAATATGGACTAAATCTGCCTAACAGACTTCTGTTGGTTTAAAATTTATGGTAAAAATATAAATTTTAATTTTTCTCAGTTGAATTTGCATAACAAACTTTTTACACAACAGTCTAGTCTGTTGCGCAAATAAAGTTCAATTGTGCAGGGGTTGCCTGTGACTCAGTTAATGCTGCATGGTAAAAACCAAGTAAAAGATGTATGAAAACAGAAAAATGCCAATCATTTGAAATTTGGAAGAAGAAATTTAAGAAAAAACTGTCTGAGCAATCATTTTGCAAGACTGTCTTTGGACTTCATAAGATTCTTTTCAACTGCACTTGAATACTTTTTCCATGATATGTAACAGGAGAAGAATGTTGATAATTTTTAAATAAAATAAAAAAAACACCAATATGTCTTTTTGGTAAATCATTTTGCCCCCAAGTAAGTGGTTCGCGATTATGGAAGCTGGAAAGTGTGATGATGATGAGAACAGGTTTCAGTTTCCTGATGTTTTCCTTCCCCACACCCAGAAAAGGCACCCGGTATCGATTTACGAAACGGGCTTTTCATTGTAAACGAAGGCAAACGAGTTTGTAAAAGAAAAAGAAGAGGAAAAAAACTGGGAATGTTGGATTTATCGATCTGACTTATTGACAAGCGAGGAAGGCAGACATGTGCTTCTGTTTCCTGCTTGTATTTTAAACTCTGTCCTTGGAATCAAACAGCTTTTTACAGTGTGTGTGTGTGTGTGTTTTTTTTTCTTCTTCTTGAGAGTGCAGTAAAATACACTGACATGCTTGTAGAATTTTTTATGACATGCGGGGTACAATTTCTGACTGTCCTTGAGAATTAATCTCAATTTTTCTGTCACTTACTTTTTTTGTGAAGGGGTTACTTGAATGATAGTCTCTAACCCTTGTGTGGCAAAGTTGGGATATGTTTTCAAAATTTTGTCCACTGAAAGCTGTAAAAATATTCATGATTTTTGAACCAAGATTCAAGTCAGAAAAAAGTCCTGCAAAAAATGTTGGGTCAAAAAAAGAATCCTCCCTGGGTGGCATTTTTTCATGCATTACCCAGCATGGGATTAACATTGGGGATTTCTTGAGACAATGGGATTTTCTGCACCCAGATTTTTCTCAACTTAGGCCTTGGCAAGCTGAGGGCATTTCAGTGGCCTTTGGCCAAACTAAATATGTCCCTCCCCCCCCTCCCCCCAACAAAGCCTGACTTTGTCAGAGGATGGCCAGGAATCCATCCATCCCAAGGGCTAAGACTCCAAAGAAACAAATTGTGCTGATGGCACATTTTTGAAGTGAAGGGCTTCATTTTGATATTTGTCAAGGTTTACTCACAATTATTATATATCTGAGGAAGCAATAAAAGCAAGCAAATTATGAGGGATAAATGTTTTATTATATGAAGTATTATTTTCTCAATTGTTGGGAAAAAAGTTGCCAATTCCATTTAGGCCACATACCTTTTGGTTGACAGAGATCCTAATGAAATGGACTAATTACTCTTTGTTCTTGTCCAAATAAGCAACACTGCAAGTAGTTTTTGAAGATGTCTTTGCCCTTGTAGCTGCTGTTATTGCTTCCTTTTCTTGGCCAAATGTCAAGAATATAGAAACAGGAAACACTGGTTGGGTCATGACTTCTTGCTGCTAGCAAGCAGTCAGCAAGCAAACCTGATAGTCTATTGATGATGATGATGATGATGGTGAAGATTCCGCCCCTTTGTCCTCCCCCATGTCATTCTGCTGTAGGGGGATACACACACACATACACACACACACTCTACACAACAAGGGTGGAGCAGGAAATCCTACAACTGTACTACTGTATATACTATGCTACTATACCAAATGATGATTAGACAGTTGTGTCATTTGTACCATGATCCCAAGCTGACCCCTATGGGGGGATGACTGGCCTCTTTCCGTTTCCCACCCCCCATGCGTTCATTTGAGCGCGTCCCAAAACAGTGGGTGTCCACAAATTTGAGAAATGTTGCAACTTTGAATTGCACACATTCAAAGGTGGAATTTCCAGTTTGAAAGTGAAGCATACACTGAACATCCAATTATGGAATGCGTAATTTCTTGAATTAGGAGAAATGTGGTACTGTAAAATTAGTTAAAAGTAATCTTTGTCAAAAAAATTTGAAGAAAGCCTATATTACACATGGTTGAAAATAATTTAAAACTAAAACTGTTGCTTTCACGGTGTTGAACCATGATAACTGAAATTTCCCGCAAAACTGAGAACCTCTCTGTACCAATTTTTTTAGTTTTCAGTTTGAATTTCCTTTGAAATAGAGCATGAAAAACATGCTGAACTCAATGGCTTTCCTCCTCTCAAGCATCTTTAACTTGCATTTTCTGGAGACCTTTTGGCTATTATTTTATTAATGCAGGAATGAGAAGAGCAATGGAAATGCAACTTGAAGTGTTCTGAAAGGAAGTGAAAGACTCATGCTGGGGCAAAATAAACCCTTGCATCTGAGTTCACCATCCTGTAACTCACTTGCTTAATAATCCGCAATTTAAGGCCTAGAATTTAAATAATTTTGATTTCTTGCAATTTTTATTCCTTTTCATGGAAGCACAGGCTTATTTTCCTCACTTCAATTTCTGCTAGTTCATATATTTGAGCTCATCTTAAAGAGGATTGACTTTAGTAAACTTTTCAAGCTACTCATATAAAAATTACATGCATTATATAGTCATTTTCATATCAATTTTTGCAGAACCTAATAGTCCAACACGCTAATAAGGAGAAATGAAGTTTTGTGTTGAATCATCACATGCATCAGGGCTTCAATTTTGCCACACCAGCAGCATGGAGTTGCAATATAGAGTAGCAGTCAATCCACGTGGGCAAAGTGAACCAAGATCCATCAGCAAGCTGGCTGACTGTCTATATCCATGTGTCTGTGTCAATATATAAGAGGGGGAGACCCTTGACTACCAATTTTTTTCTGCTGAATCATGACATGTGGCTTCTGCTTCAGCCTGGCTCACACAGAGTGTATAATGTACTGTACTGTGTTGCCCCATGCTGTGGAAACTTGCTCAGCTTTGCACCAAGGCTGTGTCCTCCTTTTACCACTACAGTATTATATTCCTTACACTGTGTGTATATGTTCTGTTTCTGTAATGGATGACGACTGACATCTCTGTCGATGCGCATCAAACATTTAAGCACAGGAAGAAGAGCGTAAGTGGAAACCCCTTTTCCGGCCTCCCTCTCTCTCCGTGCCTAATTGGACACCATATGCACCATGCTGCTGGTAGACATGAGTGATGAAGGGGGTTTTGCATGCAATTCTCCTCAGCCCTGCAGCAGCAACTCCAAGGGGGCAGGGCTTCTGGAAATTTTGCATTATTATTATTTGAGAAGCTCTGGCTCTGTTGTATGCTAATGACGAAGGAGAACCACAATCTTTTGTTCATTTTTTTTTCTTCTTGGGATGGGGGAAACTTCGGCGGGTCGCTTTGTATGCACGGGTGGGCTCCTCTTGTTTCACTATATCCGCGAGGTCTCTTTAAAATAGGAATAAAACCTTCGGGAGAAACGCACAACCAGGAAAACAAGGGAGCATTCGCTGCAGAAAACGGCGGTTGGGCCGGAAGAAGAAGAAGAAAGGAAACCTTTTTTTTCTGCGTTGGGCGCCTCTTAATGATCATGTATGAGTGACTCCACTCGCCTCTTTTCGGGAGTCTTGCTTTTTTTCCCCGCAGGCCTGAAGGGGCACTTGCGCGCGCGGTTCGGGGCTAAGTAGCGGACAGGAAACGGGGCACACCCTCCCCCACTCCCCACGACTGGCGGACAGGACTATGTATAGAGAGAGGGAGGGATAGATAAGAAAGAGAGACTGTGAGGGAGAGAGACCCGCGCTGACGCCAAGTGTGCGTGTGTTGGGGCTCGCTCGCGCTGGCCCCATCGGCCCCTCCAGCAGCGCTATGTTCAGTCTTTGACAAAGCAAAACCCCATTTCTCCAGTACTTGCTTCTCTCTTGCTTTTATTTTTGGTGGCGTATTGAGCGACTCTGGCTGGAGAAATGGTTCAACACATTTAGATTATCCATTCCTTATTATTTCCGTTCAATTCAAGGGAATATTTACCATTAACTAGTAAAGGAAAGCTGGAAAAACATGCCTTTTCTGGATGGCTGCATGAGGTTGTGGAACTCGTTTACCCCACAATTCAATCTGATGCATTGCTGGAATAGGGTCAAATTGTGAGACACTGTGTAACATCAAGTAATAGAGGCACACAACCCTAAAAAATGGACCAAAGCAGGTAAAATTGATGGATAGAGGTCAAATTGCTACTCAAACTCCCAGAAAATCTGACAATTGTATTATTGCATGATGGAAAAATTATGGAGGGTAAAATAGTGTGTTACCGCCTTTACCATGTTTATATTCAGTGCTATATCTTGAGACAAAGCATATAATTTTTAAACTATATACTGTATATACATTCTGAAAAATTTGGAAATATAATTTAGGTCCTTCAAAGCTATCCTTGATGATCATATACTGTACCACAAATATTAGTAGAATTTAATACATCCTCTTCTTGGCTAAGCTCAGTAATTTAAATCAGAATAACCTGAACCAGTTCTGGAACCGCGATCAAGCCATTGCCAAACTAATCAAATCAAATCTGTGACTATGAAAATGTAAAATACGGGATCAAGAAAATGAAAGCCTAGCCAAACACCTAGCAAATAACTTAAATTTTTGGATATCTAGCAACATTTTATCAAATAGAATCCTACTGGAATGCTCAAAAACACATACTTTTTCTACCTTGTGTTTCACGTACACCAAATTGATGCAAGTTTTTTCAACCTTCATTTATGAAATGAATGACATATGGTGTAGTAATTTAATTCAATCTCTGTCACTTGGGCTTGCTTTTGATGGCCAATCACATTTAATAAAAACCAGCATGTTTCCTGGAACTGCTCAGAAAATACGACGAAAGCAATAAAACACTGTATTTTGATTATAAAAGCTCACTCGCGTAATTTTCAGCCCAAGATGTCATGGAAGTGACAGGTTCCTAATGCTTTAAACACAAACCAAGCATTAGCAGCGCCCTCTTAGGTAATCGGCGAGCCAGGCCTCGCCATATCGCTACTGGCCCCGCCATTTGCCCCCCTGTCACTCCCTTTCTATTTCTCGTAGACCTTTCCGCCTCAGCACTCAGCTGAACCCTCCCAAACTCGCCCCCCTTTCGAAGCAAGGCGAGCTTCGTCCGCTCGCGGGAAGCAGCACAACAGTAAGCGTAAGCCCATGCGCGGCCCCCTTGTCTATCTCTGATGGCCGTTTGTCCCGCGATTTTTGCCCTCTCCACCCGCCTTGCAGTTCACCAGCACCAGCAAGCAGAAGCAGTTGCCAGTTAGCACTGTAGTCGCCGCTGTTCACTCGGCGTTTTTGCACGCGCAGAAAAGAAGAGAAAGATGAAAAAAAATGGCGGAAGGAAGCCTGGAAAGACGCGGGAGTGACGCTTGTTTGTGAATTTATCGCGTGCCTTATCTCCATCCTCTGGAGTTCTCCACACACCCCCTACCACCCAGTGTTGGACGTTTTCCTTATGGTATACAGTATTGCTCTGTCTTTCTGTGAATTTTGCCATTATGCATTTGCGGGGAATGCAGTTCCTGAGAGTGATGGCGAGACCCACGGACGGACGGTGTCGCGAAGTGAGATCTGTTCGACAGTTCGCTTGTGTGTCCGTCGGTCTTATTATGACTTGTGTGGTGACGTACCTGAGAAAAGTTCTAGTACAAAAAGCCGCCTCACCCAGTGACGATCAAATGTTTCGTGAGATCAGAATATGGACTGCTTTCGAATCCTCCTCCAGTATTTCTTGATGTGCATAGGACTGGAAATGCATTGAACCAGAGCTTTCCAAGATGACGCCGATCAAATTGTAGAACGAAAAGTTAAACTTCCAACAGAGGATGCAAAAATTTTAAGAGTTATCCCCGATTTTATGGATGGTTATTGGACCATTAGCTGCGGCTTTATTTTTAAAAATATCGCGTACTTCCGTGGTGGATGTTCCTTCAGTACATGATACGCACGGATTCGCGCTGAGAATCCGAAGAAGTTTTTCGAATTGCTGAAATTCTTCCAACGCGTTCGACATCCTTGGATTCCTCTGCTCCAATTACTGGTGCAGAGCAGTACTGAAATTCCTTCTCCGAGTTCTCCCAAGGACTCCGAGAGGGAGAAATAACATTTTTGCAGGAGGGATTGGCAAACGTGCCGAGATGTGAGTCAACGTTGGGTAACTGGGGTTCGGGATTTCGCGGGGGCTCGTTTTTGCGATTGGCTCTTTGCCTCTCCCAACTCCTCTCGCTCTCTTTCTTTCTTTCTGTGGACGAAACTGCCAAGATTTGTGTCAGAAAATGGCGCTAGGAATCGAAATGCTGCTCGTGTTTAATGAGGCATCGTAACCCGGATTTTAACGCATGGTTCCCGTTAGCCGATCCGCGGCCAATTCATTTTGTTCATTCGCGATATCAGACTCACGTTTTTGGTGCCCGATGGACCGGAACTGAGGAGAGAGAGAGAGATAGATTCACGAGTGCACGTTTCGGGTCCTTCGTGCTGTATTCATCGATTCTCTTTTTATATTCGCTTTTTCCACGTGATGTACCAGAGTCCGACATTTTAATTTTTATTGCATAGTTGTAATTTTGTCGAAGTTTCGTGACCTGTGAGTTACGCGTTTAGTCTCTCTCTATAGTGTGATGAGGTGATGTGTTAGATTTATTAAAAAGAGGCTGTAACGAAATTTCTGATTTACCCAACTGTAATTTATACTGAAATACTTCCAATGGTGACCATCATTAATTGCGCCATTGTTCTCATACTCAAAAGGATGCTACTCGTTCAGCATGATAATCACTACGAATGTAAAGAGGAGAAAAAAGTTTATATTTTTCAAGTGCATTTGTTGCGTATCTTGAGGAGATCAGGAGATCTTTCAATCCAGAAAAATTACTGATAACATCGAAACAGGCTTACTTCTAGAAACATTTCGAGTAAAGGTTGCACTTTCAATTCTTATACTGTACTGTATTGCATTTTATTCTCTCTTTCAGACTATCCGTTATCAAAAAATTGTTTTGCAGTAAGAAGTACTGTAGCGCCATATCTTGACATAAGAGAAGACCCTAGAGTGGTAAAAAAAAAAAAAACGTAGGAACCAATCCTTGTATTGTACTGTATATAGTGGCACATTGTGCAACAAAAATACAGTGACTTGTTCAAGCAATATGTTCATTATGATATTTGTTTAAATTGCATTTCTTGTGGGTAGGGTAGGGTAGTTTGTTGTGTAGGGCCGTTTTTTCTGTGGGTATTTTTTTTAGCTGTATGGTTTCATGCACATTGCCCAAGTGTTGCTGGGCACACCAGCTTGTGAGGGTA